TCGTGGCAGCAGCTTCCACGAGAGCGCCCATCCCCTGGAGTCCATGGACAAGATCATGCCACTCAGCTCGGACGCGATGCCGGCGCCGCTGCCGCTGCGCATTGCCTCCAAGGTGGTGGAGAGCTGCAATCGGTATCGTTGCGTGTCCTCGCGACCCAGCGGCTATCGCTCGTCGGCGCCGCCGCTGGCCTTTGCCGCCCAGCTGCCGGCAGGTCTTCTGAGCGGCGGCCATGGGAAGCAGCAGTCGGTTGGTATCGGCAAGCGGAAGGACTTCCACGAGACGTTCGCCAACCTGATCAAGCTGGGAAGTGTGGACCGACCTGATGCCAAGCCGTCGCAGGAGGAGCACACCTGGCAGACGGAGCTAAAGGATCTCATATGGCTGGAGTTGCAGGCCTGGCAGGCCGATCGCACTGTTGAGCAGCAGGACAAGTATCTCTTCGAGTCCCGCCAGGGCGTCTCCGATCTGCTCACCCAAATCATCAGCTACAAATTCCAGCCGCGGTATCGCCGTGAGCCAAGCCTGATTAGTCTGGACAGTGGGATTCATTCCGAGAGCAATTCCAATGCTAGCTGTAAGCTGAAGAATCTTTTATATAGCTCGTAGAATCATCTATCCAATCCCTTGCAGCTCCATTGCCCAGCAAACTGTGCCAGGGCTGCATGTCGCTGTACTGCAAGGACTGCATGGAACATCAGGAGCTGGCGCTGCGCGAAGTGGAGGCTATGCTGTCGCGCCTGGAGGCCGCCGAAGCCCTATATCCCTCGTCGCAGGCCATGGGCGCACTGCATCCCATATACAAGTCGCAGAGCTTTGTGGGGCGCATCAAGTCCATGTGCCTGTGGTACAACATTACCAAGCAGAACAAACTGAAGCTCAGTATTTTGGGCATGATTTTGGCCAGGTGAGAGGTAGCGCTAATGGATAACAGATGATCCCAATACTCATGCAAATGTACCCCTTTGCAGGCTGCAGGATGAAAAGTTTTCATGGCCCGTGCAGACATCGTGCCAAGCCGCCTCTGACAGCGGGAACTCATCCGCCTCTGGTGTGGACAACGATGATTCGGCGGTCAATTCGATGGACTCCGCCAAGCCGCCCAGTTGTTCAGCTCCTCGTAAGGGCTGCCGTAACGGCAGCGTTACATCCAGTCATAAGGTTCAGTTTATGCTCAACGATGCGGCCCATGTGCCCGGCGAGACGTCCAGCAGTAATGAGTACGTGAATGGGTTTTCAAAATGTCACAGTACGTCTGCAGTTTCCCTTTCCTGTCCCTTGCAGATCCACCTCTACTGAGGTCAGCCAGTTGTCCAGCGAGTGCCCGCACGGCCATGGATTTCGCAAGGGATCCATGCATGACATCAACATATTCAGCGTTGAGCCCCTGGGGACATGCAGCAACGATGGCAGCGGTGCCGATGGCTCCTCGGCCTTGTATCGAAAGTTCATTGAGAATGTCCTGAAGAGTCGCGGGCTGGCCAAATCGTTGGCATTCCTACACAAGCTGCACAATGTGGCCCTTTACAAGGCGCACATTGCACTGGAGAAGCCTGGGGCCGAGGACTACGACTTCGAGCTGGATGCTGAGGCGATTGAGGAGGATGTGCCGCGGCTGGATCCGCAGATAAGTCGCGAACAGGTGATCGAGCTGCGCACATACGGATACTGGAGCGAGGAGGCGCAGTCGATTAATCTACCCTCATACATTCCCACCTTTGTGTTCCTGAGCGGCATTCCGTTGCAGTTCATGCACGAGTTTCTGCGCATGCGCCTGGAGACGCGTCCCGTCCGGCCGAATCCCCTCAGCCTGGGCCAGCTGATGAAGGAGCTTCGCGAGGGCCTAACGCTGGCACTGACCCACCGGGAGCGCTATCAGCGGCACATTACGACGGCTCTCGTTGAGAACGAGGCGGAGCTGGGTAGCTACATCAACATCCTCAATCAGTACGATGCCACGGTGCGCAAGACCTTTGAGCTGTATCTCGACTACATTGATCAGCTGGTGCTGGTGGCCGTGCCGGAGACGAACCAGAAGTCGGTGCTCGAGAAGGAGTGGATGTTCACGAAGCTGATCAGTCCGATGATCACAGGCATGCACACCCTTGCCTCGCAGAAGTTCTGCGGCATAATCAGCAAGCTGTTGCGCAGCATCTCGGAGAGGCTGGTGAAGCGCTCCGTCGAGTTGGACAAGAAGATCGAGGGCACCGCCGACAACGATGACAACGAGGAGCTCAAGTGGCAGCTGCTGACGATTTGCCGGGAGACGCAGTCGCTGCTCACCGTCGAGCGGGAGCGCTCCATTAAGGTGCTCTTCTTTGCCAAGACGTTCTGCCGCGACGTCGAGACCACGGACTTCCATCGGGAGCACTATGAGCACGATGTGGCCAACCAGCAGCACGATTTTATCTGTTCGGGTGTGAAGGCGGCCTTCAAGCTGCTGCAGCAGGATGTGCTCGATGTCCGCAACAAGCTGACCGAGATTATCGAGGGCGTCCAAACTCGCTGCTGTCTGAGCAACATGCGCGACCTGGACGAGCAGGATCGGCAGGCGGTGCTGTCGCGCACCCGGGAGATCCTCCATCAGGGCTACAAGTTCGGCTTTGAGTACCACAAGGACGTAATCAGGCTGTTCGAGCAGCGCATCATGGACCAGAAGGACAGCGGGGCGCACACGGTGGACCTGGCCCTGGGCATCATTGCCTACGCCAAGATGTGGATGCATTTTGTGATGGAACGATGCGAACGGGGGCGTGGTATGCGGCCGCGTTGGGCCTCCCAGGGCCTAGAGTTCCTGATTCTTGCCTGCGATCCGCAGATCACCCAGCACCTGGACGAGCGCCAGTTCGAGGAATTGAAGCAGCAAATGGATCGCTGCATTTCCCATGTAATTGGCATTACCTCGGAGCCGGAGAAGGTGGCCCGCAAGAAGGCATCGCCACGCACTCGCAAGACCTCGTCACCGGCCACCTCACGTTCGCGAACGCCCACACGCACTCCGATGTCGGCCGGCATTGTGCTCAATCCTAATACGCCACCGCTGCAGTCGCCGCCATACAACAAACTGCTGCATCCGCAGTTCAGCCTCAAAGAGGACATGCTGCAATCATCCAACGCGTACAGTTCCGTGGACAGTGCCGACTATGTGGACACGCCATGCCGGAGTAGTCCCAATGGCGAGCTGCGGCTCCTGGTCCCCCAGACGCCGCCCACACCGGCCTCCCCGGGAGGCACACCGCTGGCGCTGCGGCAGGAGCGGGTGCGCGATGCTGTCAATCGGCTGGACATGGATCTGGAGGAGCAGCTGCGCGAGCGCCGACTGATTGGCCAGGTCAAGGCCCTAAACTCGTGCGACAAGGTACACATCCGTGCGCGCAGCGTCCACTTCCGCTGGCACCGCGGCATCAAGATCGGACAGGGACGATTCGGCAAGGTCTACACGGCGGTCAACAACAACACGGGCGAGCTGATGGCCATGAAGGAGATCGCCATACAGCCGGGCGAGACACGGGCCCTCAAGAACGTGGCCGAGGAGCTAAAGATCCTCGAGGGTATCAAGCACAAAAATCTGGTGCGCTACTATGGCATCGAAGTGCACCGCGAGGAGCTGCTCATTTTTATGGAGCTCTGCTCCGAGGGCACCCTGGAGTCTCTGGTGGAGATGACCGCCGGTCTGCCGGAGGTCGTGGCCCGCCGCTTCACCGCCCAGCTCCTCTCGGGCGTGTCCGAGTTGCACAAGCACGGCATTGTGCATCGCGACATCAAGACGGCCAACATTTTCCTTGTCGATGGCAGCAACAGTCTCAAGCTGGGCGACTTTGGCTCCGCGGTCAAGATCCAGGCACACACCACCGTTCCCGGCGAACTGCAGGGCTATGTGGGCACTCAGGCCTATATGGCGCCCGAGGTGTTTACCAAGACGAACAGCGATGGCCATGGCCGAGCCGCCGATATCTGGTCCGTGGGCTGTGTTGTTGTGGAGATGGCCTCGGGGAAGGTAAGCGCTTCCACCGTACCACCCGTAACATACTTGTAGATAAGCAGAGGGTTTATGTATTGCTCATTTCACAATGTTTCGCAACCAATGCGCGTCTCCATTCAGATATTCAGTTTTTTAGCGGAAGAAAGAATTACTGGATAGCAGCCCTTGGAACGATCTAATCTTTGCGAATCAAAATCAAGCATTTACATACAGAGTTAAGAACGATTTAGGGTAAAACAATACAACTTTAGAAGTTTCAGCTAAATGGGTACATATTTCATAAGTTCGATCATATATATCATATATGTAGATCCAATAGAAGCGGCGAAAGGAATGCCGTGATTTGTTTCCATATATTCACGTATGCACATATATTTTATCTTTTAATAATTAATAATAATTTAATTCTATTTTTTGTTTATTTAATGCTTGTTTAGCGTCCGTGGGCACAATTTGATTCCAATTTCCAAATCATGTTCAAAGTGGGCATGGGAGAGAAGCCCCAGGCGCCGGAGAGCCTTTCGCAGGAGGGACATGACTTTGTCGATCATTGCCTGCAGCATGATCCCAAGCAGCGTCTGACGGCCATGGAGCTGCTGGAGCATAATTTCTGCAAGGTTAGTAGTGCCACGAATCACATGAATCAAAATAAATCCATTAATTGTGCGTTCTATCCTACCGCGTACAGTATGGACGGGACGAGTGCAGCAGCGAACAGCTGCAGATGCAGGTGCGTGGCTCCTTTCGCCGCAACGTGGCAACCAGCTAATCGTGGCCCGGTGCTTACAACATGGTAGAACGGAAACCGATTTGGTTTTTATCTTGGCCTACCCCTACATATATAGTATGAGGCATATGTAAACGGGTGTGCACTTTGTGTAGTGTTTAATTTATGAGAATGTCGATTAACTTAATGGCTGCGCCTAGTTGTATGTTGGACAATAAATATCCCAATTTAGTGAAAAGCCAGACATGCCGTATCCCAGTTCATTTTAATCTAAGCCAAAACTAAGAAACTAAACTTGCAATTCAATTTTTAATTCAAATATCATCAGATATTGTATCAATAAATTGGATATATGGTGGAGACTTCGGGTGTGGGTTCTGTAGGTGCTGCGGATGGTGGCCCGGGGAAGCCTGTGCTTTCGCCGTCTACGGGAGCTCCATTTGGAGGTGTTGGATCCGGCAGAGCAAGGGTGGGTATGGTCTGGGCCTTAGACCAGGGGGCGCACAGCAGGAAGATGCAAATGCTCAGCAGCAGATACAGGACTGAAAAGGATTAACAATGCTGGATAGTTCCACGACTATTTTTTGTCGATATAATCGTACTTACATTTCATGGTGATGGCGTGACAAAGACTGTTTGCTTGGCGCTTCGTTCCATGGGCTTTTATGGCCGAAAAAACCGAAAAAGGTGATGAACTATTAATTAAATTCCAAAGTTAATCTATGTTCCCTTGGGCTTATCGAACTCGAGCTCGTACTTGGATATGAAATACTGCCTCACGTCGCCGTAGAATAATATATTTTCCTATAGAAAGATAATTTCTGAAGGCGATTTATCTGTTCTTGGAAATAAATATATCCCACATACTCGCAAGTGTACGGATATGACGCAGAATTCATCAACATAAATGTTAAAAATATCAATAAATATCTACATATGTATATAGGAGTACGAAAACTCTCAGTATTTACCCAGTGGAGACCCCAGTGTCAGTTCTTATCAAATTGTAGGTCAGGAATAACGAATGCGCCTGATTGGTAATGCATTTTATTTAGTTTTCATTTTTGGTGATTAATTTTTGCATACAATATACATCGAATCAAGATCAAGTCAAACTTAACGACAAACAGTAACGTAACATATAGATAGATAGATAGATAGATAGATAGGTTGGATAGTCAGGATAGATACATACATATTTGAGCTGGTAGATATGTGGCGATAGTTCAGTTAACAGTTAATAGTTGAAACGATAATCAAACATACATATATAGCAACAATGAACACAGCAACTATTTTGATATACATATACTATAGGTAGTATCTGGTTGTCCTCTAACAGTTTTCCATATAATTTCTCATGTAAATAACATACGTATATATATATGTTGTTGTATAGAATATTGGTTGATAGTGATCGGTAATCACCACTACCAAAACACACGTGTCACTAACATTTCGAACAGACAAACATATATATCCTATATAGTATATAATTTCCACTGCCTTCTCCTTCTTCTTTATTCTTCCTTCTCCCCCGTTTCAGACCCGTACTGGGGCGTATGTAAATTTATTGATATGTATTGTTACGTCTCAAGTCTATACGCGTACAATGATTCTCTCTAAATTCCTCTACGTTCGTATTTCGTATTTCTCAGATATGTATGTATATATGTTCCTCCAAAAAGCCTCTAGTTACGGGTATAGTATACCATTTTGCTCTCTAAAACATCAATATATATATCTCTAGTTATGTGTATATACGATTAATAATAATTGTTTCAAACGAACCAACAACGAAACTTTCAGTAACAAGCGTAGAGATACCATAGTATTTTTTTTGGTTTAGTATTTTGTTGATAACTCTGAAAGAACACAACGCGTAACGAAAGTATTGCATACTTGTGGGCGGCACGGCCAAACTGCTTAGATAGCTGGTTATGGGTACAGTAAACAAGAGGTTAAGCTCGGCTAATTTAGTTTTAGATAATGTCCACTAATTCATATTTACGATTACAATACGATTACATATATTGCTGCATAATTAACACACTCAGATAACAGCGTTAACGATTTTTCGCGCATAAAATTGCTCTAAAACATTTAATTGACTAGAGTGGCTCTACGACCATCTACGAGGAGTACTTTTGTCGGTTAGGGTAGGGACATGGGGGCATGTAAAGCAATGGGTTTCAGTTTGTAGCAATATGATATCATGATTGACATTAGTTTTCGATTTCGTTCGGACCCAACCCGCTCGTTGGGTGGGTTCGCTTGGTGGTGCTTGGTCACATATGAAACGCCAAGACGTCAGATAACCACAGATTTACATTTAGTTTCGTTTGCTAACTTGCTAAGGTACATTTACTGATATGTTATGTTTTATTCGTGTGGATCACTTCCGATCCCTTCAATTCTGCAGCAGATCCCGCATTATGTCCAGGGAGTCCTGCAGCGACTTGGCATACCGGGAGGCACTCGTGTCCTCGCACGAGTAGAAGGCTGACACACAGAAGACGATCTGCTCGGGCTGCGGATTGTAGGAGCAGCCGTATCCACGTGGCGTCACGGGCCCATAGCCCATAAAGCTGTCCGTGCTGCAGGCAACCTGTTGGCGAGGACGAGGCGCATTAACATCACAGGGACACGGGACCCATGAGGGGGACAAGCCATGGCCTGGGCTCGACTAGCCGATACGTACTTGTGCAGCGGGGCAGTGCTGTGCTGTGCTGTGCTTTACTGTGGTGTGGTGCAAGAATTGATTAAGTGGTGCAAACAGAGGTGCGAGAGTGAAAGGTGCGGGTGCGGGTGCGGTTAGGTGGCAGGAGCTGGCTGCAAGTTACTACCTGACTGGTGGAGAGCAAGAAGCACTGCGAGATCTTGTAGGACTCGTCCGTGAACAGCTCGTGCAGTTCGCCGGTGACCTCCACACTGGCCTCCCGCAGTCCCAGCAGTGGTATGTCGATGCCGCTGCCCAAGATGTTCTTGACCATCACCTCCGTCTGACGGGCCACGGCGCAGCGGAAGAGCTCACGCAGATGATCCTTCTGTAATTTGGAACGATGAGATGGATATCATCCTCGTTGAATGCTGGAATTAACGGGGGATACCCACACTGTAAATGCTAAACGTGACCTTGCGGGACTCTTCCTCATCCTCGCGATCGCTCTCTAGCGTCACATTGGCGCCTTCCCCCTGACACATGGCCTTGGCCCATTCCAGGGCCTCCGTACTGGCCGCTCGAATGCAGTCCACACGTCCCTGGCAACCGCATAGAAAGATAGCAAATAATTACGATATTCAGCCAATACCATCACAAATAAGTGGGTAAAGTGCGTAATACTTACATGCAAGAATCGCCTGGTGGATGCACTCTCATAGGTGGCCACCAGACGGCCATAGAGCTTGTAGTGCGCCAACTGCAGGGCCAGCTGGATGTACACATCCGGACTGACCTGACACGACTTTATGAATGTCTTGCCATAGCCCCGATAGCGGTAGACATAAAAGTCCAGATCATCGATGGCCTTGTCCACGCTCTTGGCGGCCTGGCCGAATCGCAGCTGGAGCTGCGGCCCCTCCACATGCCACTCGAGACGCTCTGGCGGCGGCAGATGGTGCTGCGGCAGACCGTTGTCCTCGTCCGGATGGTCGACAATGTTCTTGTAGATCTTCTCCAGCAGCTGCACCACGGCAATGCCCTCGGATGTGGAGTGCTCGTAGCAGAGGCCCCAGGTGCCGTCGGTGCAGATGATGAGCTGTGCGGAATAGAACAAATGTTATCCATTCGAGGAAGGAGTACCCTAGAAGCTCACCTGCATGGTCTTGTCAAACCAACGATTGCCCGAGTTGTAGTCACTGCCACCGCCGTGGATCATCTCGTGGGCCATGTTGGTCTCGTCTCGGTCCCCGGCCTTGTGCATGGTGGGCGTGGCTCCGCTGAAGCCGCGTGCATTGAAGTTACCGCCCAGCGGCTCGTCCAGGCACAGCACCACCTGGGCCGTCTCAATCAGCTCCAGATTGCGCTGATTGCGCTCGTCCGCCTGCAAAGCCTCGCGATCCCGAGCCCAACGTGTCCTCGGCTCGGCGGTGAGCAGGCCAACGGGCACTGGCTTCGCCTGTAGACAGGGGGCATCGCTCAGGACGTAGAGGATCTGGGAGGCGATCTCGCTCTCGGACAGCTTACCGCGATCGGAGGCCTGCAGCACCACGCAGTACATTTGATTGCGGCAAATGACAACCACATGGCGATCCTCGTCGGTGGTTCTCTCACGCGACGGCAGGTACTGGGAGTCGCGCTCAACGCCGGGCCGGCGACAGGAGCCCAACAGACGATAGTACTGGGCCATGCAGAGCGGTTGGTTCTTCTCCCGCGAGGCGGCCCGCTCCAGCGGCAGCTCGCCGCTGTCCAGCATTTCCTTGTGGGCCAGAATCCCGTCCAGCAGACGGGCAGCAAAGTGGGCCACGTCGTGGACGGTCTTGAAGCGGCGCGGCGGGAACACCATGCCAGGATTCGAGTTGATCGGCAAGGGTATGCGCACGTTCATGTACATGTCGTTGAGCCAGTAGTAGTAGGCCTGCCATGGGCGAAATGGGTGCAAATGAGGTGTAACATGAAAACCATATTATTGGAGCCATTTCCGTTCCATGTTCGACACAAATTCAATTAGGCCCCAAATTCGGTCTAGCTCTGGGTGGGGCTTAATGATGCGAGACGTTCGATGTGGGGCGATGCGATGCGATGCTGGGGCATATTTTTATCACACCTGAATCAGACCTTATCAGACATTCCGCGAAGAGATCGATAGATCACTGATACGCATCGAGATGCGGAGCACTATAAATAATGGCATCTGGTCCGATCAGAAATCAGTACCAGTACCAGTACCAGAGCTCCCCTCATCATTCACGGATAACCAACGGACCACTTACCACAACAGCCAGCCACAACATGAAAGGTAGGACTCGTCGCATCCATCCAGCCATCCAGAATATCTAAGAAACCATTCCCGACTCCATTCCTCCATTCCTTGCAGTATTTGCCCTCGCTCTGCTCTGCCTGGCAGCCGTTGCCCAGGCCCATATCAGCTACAAGCTACAGTGCGCCCGCGGCGAGATCGGCATCCGCTGGCCTAGCTACCACAGCAACTCCGAGTACTATGTGTGCCAGGGCATCTACGGCAGCCAGCTGACCATCCACTGCCCGGCCGGCGAGGTCTTCAGCTTCGTGCTGCAGCAGTGCGCCTCTCCCTCCCAGTATGTGCCAGCCCCGCCAATCAACATCCTGCCCACTGCTGCCCCCATCACAATGACCGTCGTGGAGGATGCTCCTCCAGTGATCGGTGCCGGTATCGCCACTTCCGCTCACAACCAGATCGAGCAGCATGAGACCGCCGAGCACCATGAGATCGCCGGACCCCATGAGCACCACGAGCAAAACGAGCTCCACGAGCTCCACGAGCACCACGAGCACGAGCACCAGACCGAGCAGGAGGTTGTGGCTCACCCAATTCCCCCGACCCCAGCCCCAGAGCCACCAGTTGTGGAGTCGGCCGTCAAGCCAGCTTCCGCCCCTATCCCCAACAAAGGAGTTAAGAAGCCGGTCGTCCCAGTGCCCGCCAAGAAGGCCACTTCCGCCAAGAAGCCAGTGGCTCCCATCCCATCCAAGACCGCCAAGAAGCCCACACCACCCAGCAAGGCCCAGAAGAAGCCAGCCACGGCCTAAGAGTCCCATCCGGATCGCCAGTTCAATGTCCATCGTTAAAGCAAGCGGAGTTCCATTCACAACTCAAAATAGCAATATAAACTAACTAAATATCTATCGACCTGCAACCGGCAAAAAGGCAAATTTACTTTGGAAATGGGAAAAGAAATCGGGAATCGAGTCAACAAAGTTGTACCTTATCGGGGAGGAGAGTCGAGTCAACATTTTAATTGATTACGATTTCTTGTTATTTTCGGAATGCTCGTTTTCCGATAGGCACACGCTGACATTTGTTTCCGATAATGTAAAATGAAAAAAAAAGGCATCAGCTAGGAACAAGCTGTCTCCCAAGTGGAACGGAACGAACCTCTAATTGGGTTACCAAATCACCAGCATTGAATGCCACCAGGTGGGAGGGAGGCTGTAGGCATCAGGAATCTGTCACTCGAGCGTTTAAATTACCATCTTAACATCCGCGGAGAGCACAATGTGATTCCCAGTGTAAAACGCTTCTGTTATCTGCGTGCCGTGCCAAAGATAAAGTGCCAAGCATTTCAATTCGGCAGAAAAGCCATGAAGTCATTGCCATTGCGCAGGCCAGACCCCACTCCGTTCCCAGAATACTCGTAGATGATCTTCCGCAGTCATGCTAATTGTCATGGCAACTCGTATTCCTGCAGAGCAGGGAGTCGGAGTCATACCCCAGTAGTTTCCGCCATTCGTTATCTTCGTTCAGGTGGAGAAGATTACCAAAACTTCCAAAGGCAAAGAGAGAGAGAGAGAGAGAGAAGCGAGCGGTCTAAGGCGCATTTTAGTTCAATTGTATCGTTCGAGGCGTTTGGCGTTTCTGATTTTAATTTCGCACCCTGCCTGTCATGAAGACATGAATTAATCTAGAAGCGGGCTGATTAAAAATGTCTAACATGCCCGATTCGGCGGCATAAAAAGGCTTTGCCACGGGCTGGGAATGCATCAGTGATCAGTTAGCCGAGTTAAGAGCGAGTCAGTCGAGCCCCAACTAGCAGCAATATGAAAACCGGTAAGCCCTCGCCTCAGCCTCAGCCTGAGCCTCAACAGGATACAGGATTCCCGACTTAACTATCCATCCATTCATCTCCATTTCCCCAAAGTGATCTTCGTGCTGGCCGCCATTGTGGCCGTCAATGCCCAGAATACGTGTTACAGAACGCCCGTGTACACCGAGAAGATCGATCCTGTCGTCTGCCCGAAAGCCGGTATAAAGCTGCCCAACTACGAGAATGCTTCTACCTTCTACCAATGTGGCAGCGTGGGAACAACTGGCACGCTGACCAGCTGCGCCACCGAAAACTACTTCAGCTACGTGATGCAAACCTGCGGACCGTGCGAGTCGTATTTGCCCTCCACTATTTGCTCTGCTCTGCCTTTCAACGCCACATGCGTGCCCATTGGGTCCGCCACAACAGCACCACCAGCCACCACTGGCTCCACCGCAACCGCCACCACTGTCGCACCGTCAGTCAGCACCGCCAGCACTGCCGCACCAACCGGCAACGTCACCACGGCTGCCCCAACAACCCAGGCACCCAGCACCACCTCAGCCGTTCCCGAGCCACCCACCGATGCACCAGGCTCGACCACGGCCGGTGACAGTGGCAATGATACACCTTCGGGCACCACCATCTTCATTCCCCAGCCTCCCTCCCCCGGTGAGAGCAATGTCCCTACTCCGGTTACGCCCGTGCCCACTGCCCCGAACATTGAAGTCACTCCCCCAACCGTCCAAAATGCCCCTGCTCAATAGAATGAAAACAACAATCGTTCAGTACTTCCGCCTTTCAGCATTTTGGCATGTATGTATGTACCGATATTCCCTGAATAAAGTGTTCGCAGAACAATGAGCCAAACACAATCCCGTTTCCCGAGCAAACCTTACCCAGTTGTCCTCGACCTCGCGCTTGTCCAGGAGATACTGATGCAGTCGTCCGCCCAGGGCCTGCGGTGCCGTGAACTGCCTGATCAGCTCCTTGGTGTGCTCCAGCTGCGCCGGCGTCGTGATCGGCTCCAGGGCGCGCACATAGTCGGCCATCGTTTCCTCCAGCGGTGGAACGGGTATCTTGGGTAGAGTCTGCAATGGATAAGGTAAAGGGTTCACAATTGGTAAACTTAAGGGTGTCCTCGCCTGCAAAAATTTCATTTCATTTCATGTCATCTCAAGCACTTGGCGAGCTGGGTATTCCTTTTTGCCCATTTCCCTTATTTCCCTCATTTGTATGCATGACATTACCGAGCTCCAAATAGAAAGTTACCAGCTCCTGCTAGCTCCTGGCAGCTCCTGCCAGCGGCAGCACAGAAACTTTATCCCCGAGGGAACTAAATTTCAAATCACACAAAAAGAAGGGAAAGAAATGGCATTGGCACGAATCTGACATTGTCCGCCCCCGGTTCTTGAGTGCTTGAAATTTCTTTCTTTTCATTCACCCCTGGGCTCCCTCGGTGATCTTAATTGAGAGTTTTGCTCTTGAAATTCCCCAGTCACTGGGGGGACAAAGCCCTGCATTCCAATCTATGTCCATGAATCTGTTGCAGCTCAGTCGGTCTCTCAAATGGGGAAACTTACGTGTACGAATATTTCAACCTTCGGTTTGTTCTTGCTGGCGTGGAAAACACAATTTGCCACTTAACAAAAAACAGTCGAAACGTTGAAACGTCGAAACGTTGAAGAAGTGTCAGCATGTCGTTGACTTTCCCAGCTTCCCCGAGCTCAGTTTTCAAAGGTAGCGACTGGAACTCCTGCTCCTGCTCCTGCTCCTGCTCCTGCCCCATCGAATACCCTGCATATCCTGTCACTCGCTTTTGTCAGCCTGTCCTGTCCCCCCTTTGCTTTGCCGCTTTACAATCTCTATTTTTTGGGGGTTGCTGCGGCTGCTGTGCTTTTTGTCAGGTGAGTGTGGGAGGGGAGGGGAGGGCTGGCAGGTTTTTGCCCAAGTTGTGGGCTGAGAGGAGGGCTCGCAGGTTGGTTGCCAGGCTGCCGTTGCCTTTCCCCAAACTGGTGCCGTACAAAAGCGCTTGTTATTTGCATTTGTAATTATAACAAACAGGATTAGTCTGTCTGTCTGTGTGCACTGCGCTGCGTTGCGTGTGTATCTGTGTATCTGTGTTCGGTTCGAGTTTGTCTTTGAATTATTCAAGTAGCGGGACTAGCGGGTATGTTCAGCCTTTGGGCAAATATTGGACCTTTTGGTCCCCTTCGGCTGCAGCAAAAAAAGAGAAAGGAAATTGGAATTTGTTTAATCAATTTTACTCACGTCAGGGAATCCAAATTCGTCTACGGACTCGGCCGTGGAGAGCCATTTCTTGGGAATCGACAGAATCGAGTCTCTCCATCCTAGAAGAACAAAGAAAACAAACACGAGTCGATCGTTGATTAAGAGCTTGTTGAACAACAAATTTAATTGTTGTGTAATTTCATTGTTCAGTGGTTAAGTGAGGGTGCCACACGGTAAACCGATACCGACACCGATATCGAAAGCTAGTTAATCACTGTCACAAATATCAAGTGCCTGCGCCGCCGTTTAGCTGGTTATATCCCAAGAAATACCATGTTATCATCGTCTAGGAATGACAGCCCGCCGAAGACCATTGACGTATGCGTCACCGTTGAGATTGGAGCAGAGAAACTCCACAAAACTAGGGCGCATTTCTGGGATCCGGACAACCCTTGGTTTAGCTTCTCTTTATCTTAAGTTCAAATTACTCTAACCTTGATTGCCCCACATCAACTCAAGAACATGCCACCCGAATACAGACACACACGCACACACTCGGGATTCAGACAAATTCGTGCAAGTTTGCCATTTATTGTCTTGGCCAGGCTTCCGCTAACGAAATGCAATAAAACTGGGCAGAGGAAACTGAAAACTCTTGAGCTTAAACCCTCGTCCATTTCCTTTCGGCCGTCCGTCTAGATTTCCCCCATAAAACTTTCGACTGTCATTGATGTAACTCAACTGTATAAGCACTTCCGGTTGCCATTCGCCACTCCCACTCCCACTGCCCCACCATCCCCCCTTTCTCGAGTAGCGTGTAGCAAATTTCCGGCATTAGTTCGCATGGCCCCGAGTGAGGCTGCGGCGCGATTTACGAGTGTTGTCACTGTCTTTGTATCTCCCGACAATTTCCAACATACAATCAGCAAATAAAAAGAAGAGAAATAGATACCGAGTACTTCATTCTAAACTTAATCTAAGATCTAAGATAGTTGTATTTTTAGCTATGAAGATTGTTTGAATATCTGAAGTTGGAAAGGCTTCCTCCTGGATCTCTGCTGCGTATAAAAATCTAATCAAAAATGGTCGTCAGTTGAGAGGGAAAGCCAGTAAGTACATATATCGAGCACTTGACCGCTTTGAAGCACTTCCTTTCTGAGTGGAATAACATGGCCAGTCAGCTCGTACCCACCTTTTGAAGGCACCACAACGACAATCATAATGTTATTAATAAAAGTTGTTCTATGACAATATCGGGATGAAAGGAAAACGAGTGGAAAGGCCATTCTCTCCTACTCCAACTGGGGTTAGCCGTGGCACGCGTCGCCCCCACAACGATGTCATATTTAATGCAATTTATTATCCTTTTTTCATTATCTCGCTAAAGATGCCCCAACCAAGCCAACCAGGCCAACTAGCTGGCGGAGGTAATCACACAATGGAGTCACGTGGCAGCAATTTGAGCGTCCGTTCGCTCCATTGTTGCCTGTGCTGGTAAGAACACCAGCACCAACCACAAACCAGCCGAAGCAGAGCCGCCACATCATACCCATCTGCAAATTGTAATAAATTGTATTAGGAAGCGGCGTAGAGGAATTCAAATTAAGTAATTAAAGCTCTGGTTTGGGGACATCTTTGGGGTTGGTTGCCCTGCGGGATCTGGCTAATATTTTCCTCTTAATAGAGCAAATATCAATTACTCAGAAAGAGAAAAACCTCCGTGAAAGTTGTATCTCTCGAAGCATAAATATAAATTCTAATTACAAAGTTTTCTGGCCCGTTCAGGGCGAAAGATGACAGGATTTCCATCCATCCAGGCTAAATAACTATGAATTGCTGTCGACGGTAGGATGTTCCGGCTGCCATTACCTGTACCGTCAGCACGAGTCCTGGCCTGGGTGTGCCTTGCTGCTGGCGCTGACAGGCTGCAATTTAAAACATGTTCCATTTGGATTTCGAGAGGCAGCCAGCGGGGAGCATCACCTTCAATTATATGCATTGACATAGACACTTTTCCAATTGATTGATTGATGGCCGGGATTTCTGATTAGGCAGACAGACAGCTAATCAGATATTCATGCACCATTACAAAGACAGACGGAGCCCAGTTCCGGATCCACCCCCAGGCAGGCATCGTTCCCCTTTTTCTGTCAGCTTCAATTTGTTCGATTCTGTCGGGTTTTTGTGCCAAATCATGATTCGCCTTGGACCGGGCCGTAGCTTTGCGGAAGAAGATCGATGCATTATGATTATGAGCCGGTGGAGAGATGGGGAATACTTATTCACACATTGCCATTCACAAAGCGGGGGCTTACTTCCAACACGCCTCTTCTTTAAATGCCGCTCCAATAAAACGCGTCAGTAAACCGAGCGGCTCATTATTAAGCTGCAAAAATCACGCTCGAAATCATAGCATTCCGCCCATGCCCATGCCCATCCCCATACCCATAGCCCCCTCCACATCCACAATTCCCATTCCATTTCTCCTGGGCCTCGACAGGCAACTGCTGCCGCCTGTCAGACAATGCGATAAAAATGTAATCCCAATGAAAAATAATGTTTCTGCTGGCATGATTCCAATTTAGCAACAGTCAACCCCAAGACCGTAGCTCATTAGAACGTAGCCGGGAATCGCATAGAACGGCATGGGATGGCAGCTGCTAACCGAAGCAAATGAAGGAGAAGAATTTAAAAAGGCAAAACAAATCCGTACCCAAACGGAGTACGGCGTGAGGCGGGAGTGAGGGAGTGAGGGACAGGGACGCGACACGTTCCGACTACATAAAACACCAGCGGAACAAGCTGTGACCCCAACCGCAGTATTGGTGCTGGAGCTGGTACCAGACCGGGGTCCCCTGGATGGATGCTGGGTTCCTGGATGAGGGCTCGAAGAGGGTCATAACATTGTCGAAGCAAGCCATGAATGAATGGATGAATGAATGAGTTTTTCCTCCTTTGTTCGGTTTGGCTGCTCGTAAAGGGCTTTATTCCCTTCAAGGGTGGCTGTCCTGTCCGCCGCTGTCGCCCTCCGCACGCACATCACAATTGAGCCGTAAATCCTTTACGGTCTTAGCGGCTGTGCTGTTGTTGCCCGTACTTCGTTGCGCTTTTGTGGCCTGTCTTCGCTTGGCTTTATTTTCCGTTTCTGTTCGGAAAATGCCTGGCATACTTTTGTGCGCCAAACTCAAATTAACTGCCGCATTGAGGCATTGGAGATTTTTGTAATTGTTCGAATTGAAACAAGCGTAAAGCGCAAATTGCTAACGTATTGTGGCTGAAACAATTGTGGCCGGAATCGGGAGCAGGACTGCGACTGCGACTGCGACTGCTGCCACTGGCACTCATTGACTTGGTGCCCTGTTTGCGGCTTAGCTTCCAGTTTCTCGTAACTTTTTCCAAAAGATATGCACACACACAGACACACATCGGAACACCTCTGGTTGTGGCTGTGGTTTCTGGTTTAGCCTGAGGGCACATCCTCCCCCACAAAAGTAAGAAACTTTTTGCCTGCCCGCCTGCCCAGCCTCCTCCTGTATGCTGTTCGTGACGCAGCCCAAAGTTGCTAATGGAAATTGCAAACATAAAATCATTTTCCACACGAATCTCTGGCCCCAGGGCACGGACACAATATCCCAGTCCACGGGAACTGCAAAGTAACCCCCAAAAACAGGGAGAGAATCGTGCTGAAGTTTTCGCTCCACCTTTACTGGAATCGATGTATGTACAATGTGGCTCGATTTTTATCCGACTTGAAAGGTACCTCAGCCAACCTACCTCCCTCCCTCCCTGCCTTAACCGGACATGCTCATCTCCGTGCCTTTCATTAGCTAATTAATTTCATTAACTGCTAATAGATCGGATGAGCTGTCCGTTTGCGTCTCTGTCGCCATTGAAAGACACTTTTTCCATGGTTAACAATTATATTTCAATAGTACATGTTTGTTTTTGTTGGAGTGTGTGTGTGTGTGTTGGTGTGTGTCGCTCTGTAATTATTCAATATCGTTCCTTTATAGCTCTTGCCAGTGCTTATACATTCGGTTATAGCTGCTGTTGGTTGTTGGTTCAATTCACAATTCATAACATATGTCTTTGGCCAGAAGCACTCGCCCAGAAATTTGAAATTCTCATTGGATGCAGTTCAAATACGGTCATAAATTCATAGATTCATGTCGAATGTGTGAGTGGTTTCTGTATTTTTATTTGGTAAGAAATATCCTTGAAATGTCCAGCAAAAGTGAAACCAGTTTAAGTCAAATTTCAGACATATGACTGGTGGTTGGATATCCACTGAACCGCCGTACTTCGAGGATATTTTGAGGGTCGGCAGGCCGAACCAGTTACTGTTTTCTATACCATTCTGTATACATTTGATTATAGAAGAGATTTCGGGGGTATACTTTGAAAATATTGTATGCTCTAGCTATTTATTCGATCATTGATTCGCTTTCGTTTTGATATGCATAGCATTTAGTTTTCAGTTTTCATTTTTGGGGATAGTTACGGTCTGTCGATATTCATCTGATACAAACATAATTACGTATAGAATATAGATGGATAGACTTGGAAATTGAACAGCAACTTTACAGATTACAGAACTGGGATTTTCGGATACTTGTTAGAGTTAGAGTAAGAGTTTTTTTTTTGTTTCTGCTTACTAATCTGGTATAATTTATAGTTTCCACTGTTTATAATAATAATTATTGTTGTTTAATATATAACAGAAACGTCTATAACATTAGTCGAAACGAAACTTCAAAGACTTTCCTATAATTTCGCTTATACAAGTCGTATAAGTATACGATTATGTACGAGTATGGTATGTACTTGAAACACCTTGATTTACACTTTGACTCTGACCAAAAATTACATTCGAAACTAACGATATGTCTTATATACAATACAAAACTGAACTGTGGGTCTTTGTCTTTATCTTTGCGTACAAACTCATTCCATTTCTTCTAGGGGATACATTAAAATTTTCTAAACTTTCACACAACACATAGAAACTGTCGAGAGGCATTTGTTATACATTTACGAAAAAATATAAATTATCTTTCTGTGCTACGAACTGATTTTGCTGCCCAAAGAATATACCTATATCGTATAGTAATTTCCTTTTTGTTTTGGATATTTAATATTAGTTTCTCGTTAATTATTAATAGCGCACAGTTGTGTTATGTTTATTTATATAATTCATATAATTTATATAATGCCATTGAACATTTAACACTTGTAATACGCAGAGTATAACTTCATCGTTTCTTGTATTCCTTTTCATATAATCATATACTAGTTTATCATACATATTTATTAATTTATACTCGTATTTATATTTATATTCATATGCTTGCAACACATTTAGTGGATGCATTCCCGACGCTCTTACTCTTTCTGTAAGTTATTACACATTTCCGGCACTATCGACCCCTAACCCAGGAGTACTGGGTTAACTACACTATGATGCGATGGTTATTATTAGCTTGTAGAAATATCAGTAAACCCAAGTTGGAAGATTTTTCATATACATTATGCCCTCTGCCCTTGCCTGGCATCTATCCATTTTAATCCAGCCACGGCCCCAAGTGAAATTCAGAAGAGTAGAAAATGAATATTCGAATATATCGAAGGAAAGTTTGAAAGAGAAGTGAATACATGGTCATGACTCTGATGGAAGCTTTGGATGATTTTCCAGGCATCTTTCAGAAATATTGCTTTTGGGTTTTACATTTATGTTTATGGTAAATATTTGTGTGGTTACTCGCATTTAAAATTCTATTGTTAGCTACTTAAACAAACATTCTATTGATAGTATGGTACATAATTCTATATTCTTTATTGACTATTTTAATTACTGGTTTTCTATTCTTCATATATATATATGTATATATATGCATATATAAATATGTTAATTTGCTTTAGCTCTCTATTCCTCACCTCTTCCTTTGTCCTTCCTTTTAATTGATACTTTTGATGGGAGATTTTTTCATGAGTTTAATTCATTTTATAGTTAAGAGTATTTCTACAGTTTCTGTAAATATGTAGAACTGTGTGTATATTCGAATTGTGTATTAGTTTTTCTCTGTAAAATAATTGAAATTGTGAAATGTGGAACAAAAAGCTTGAAAATATGAAATCGAATTATGAAAAATATGAAAATGAATCGAAATACGCATATAAAAATATATAAAGTATTTCTGATCTTTAAGAAAATAGATCACTTCCACAACTGAAGAAATCAAAATCGAATATAGAAATATATAGTTATAATTTTTATTAAAAAATACAAAATCAACAAAATGGTAATATTTAGGAACTACATGAGAAAAATGGGGATATGATAGATACAATTATAAGCAGAATACCGAAACATAAAAACGATTTCCATATCCAAATTAGATCTTCTTCATTCCCAATATTTCTAGAACAAAACTCGTAGTTCCTTGAAAATCAGTGCATTTCACGTGTATACGAGTATTTCTGTATGCTAGATCCTATGTAGGCAAGCTGCTTTAACCAATTGCTCTTGTAATTCATAAGATATATATGAATATATTTTCTGATAGCAGTTCCATAATGGCCGTTTCACTGATATGCTCACCGATATAGAAAGTCTGAGATATACATACGTAATTGTAATTGCTGACTAGAACACATTTGAGAAATGTACACAATAATCATATGCTGAAATCCATATACGTATGCATAGTTGTATGTATATAAAAGATCAGTTTGCTTATCGATATATATATATATATATTTATATATGTATATAGATTCCACTAAAAGGTGTATAATATAGGGACAGTAAACTGCCTTCAAAAAAGTGGTGCCATCGAAATGAATCAAATATTTTGTACGAGTACTACTATATGCATACAATAATCGTTTATCTTTAGGCTTAGCTTTTCGTTTAACTTTATCTTATAGACAAGGTACACACATTTATGCTATGCTATAGATGATCTACTATGGCGGCCGAGTCCCAGTCCTCTGATTGGAGGAACAAGAACCAGCGCATTGCTCATAGAGTCATTAAGCAAATAATAATTGATTGGTAGGTAACTATGAAACTTTGAATAATTTCAAATTGATTTCTTCGGTTTCGGGTTTCGAATTTCTGGTTTTTGTATAAGTTATGTACAGTCTATGTACGACCTAAAAGTAGGGGTGTATGTCATCGATATGATAAGATATATATATGTATGTATGTATAGACTAGTAGCAATAAGTAATATCACTTTTGGTAATTTTAACAGGCGAGCCATCGAGACTCTGATATGTATCGTTACCTTGGTTGTGTCTTATGTTGCGAAAACACTAAACTCAAATTCACGTCCCTCTTCTTCTGGTTTAAATCGGAAATAATATGGTTTGTCTGGTCACGAAGCCACTCTCGGACCCAGGTCCGCCACAATGACAACCGAAAGAGTTCCTTTGTTCAGCGGCGGGGGTAGGATTTCGATTTTTGTGCATCTTGTGATATGTCTGCGATATGGATGCCATTGCCTGTAGGACGGCGGCACTTGGGTGAGAGTGGTCCGGGTCCAGCTAAGCCGCTTACGACTAAATTGTATACAATATATGTGTATATATGTATATGTATCTGTGTGTATATAGTATCTGATATATGTATGTATTTGATATATAGGTAGGCCGGGGCCTGCTCCCACCATTAATATACCTAACTAAGACTGACTTTGGTTTCTCTAGCTTCTCACTGACTGATAGACACGAAAACGGCTGCTTGAGTACTGAGTATAGGGCATAGGCGTCCCGATCGGGCCGGGCCGCTCTATATAGCTGCTATATACGCTGCTATATGTAGTTTTTTCAACTTCGTGTATGATACAAAACGTTGGTGCTGTGTGCATGGCATTAACTAGCTGCTGTATTAACTATCTGCATGTCATGCTTGTTATAGTGTACGTACCACTTGCCTATTGTATGTCTGTGTATATAGAACTATATATATATACTATATGTACATAGATATGTACATATAGTAGGTTCAACAAATAAACAAACGAATAACGAACGAACTGTGCAAACACTGCAAACAGAGATGTACAAATGAAAACATTAATTAGATCTAGGCTTTGTCTCAGACAACAGTTTAAAATCCTTGTCTGAAGGGATTCGCCGGTGCGCCTGGACCTCTGCTCTGCGACTGCTGCTGCTGTTGCTGCTGCTGGAAGGGATTGGCCACTCGTGGCTGTCCCTGCTGCGAGTAGCTGCCGCCCTGCTCCTGATATCCCGGCTGGTAGCCCTGGTCCTGCTGATAGCCGCCCGCCTGCTGGTATCCCTGCTGCTGCTGGTACTCGTACTGCTGATCGTCCAGATTGGTCTCCTGCTCCTGCTGGTACTGCTGGCCGTACTCGAGGTGGTTCTTGACTTCGCCCTCGACTGGCTTCTGGTCGTGCATCACGTAGGTCTGGTACTCCTTGTTGGGCGGATCCTGCATCAGGATGTTGGCCTCGTTCTCGAAGGGCTTGAAGTCGTAGATGTTGCGCAGCTTGCGTAGTACGGGCACATAGGCCAAATTCGAGAAGGCGATCATGAAGTTGAGCGCAGTGAATCCAATAGCCTCTACCACGCCGCCGGCGATGATCGGGCCAACGGCGTAGGCGATCGAGTATGAGATGTCCGCGATCGCGTAAATGCTGCCGTATACGGACACGTAGCGGACGTCCACCAGGTAGCCGAGCGTCGGCAGCAGGGCAGTGTCGATGAGCGCGATGCCGAAGCAGATGACGCAGATGGGCAGCATCAGCATCTTGTAGCCGGTGCAGAAGGGTATGATGAAGCAGGAGAAGCCCTCGAGTGCCAACCCGATGGCAGCCATCAGCCACTGGTGTTGCGGATACTTGCGGGCCATCTTCACTGTGATTACCACGCCCAGGACGTGCGGAAAGAAGGCGGGCAGCCAGACCATGCCGATCTTCCAGTTGTCTGTGGTCATCGTATCCTCCATCCACAGCGAGATGGTGGGCTCCAGGAAGGCCAGGGCCACATTCGACATGGTTAGTGCTCCGGCACACACAGCAATGTAGGGATCCATGAGGAGGCGCCAGATGGGAATTACCTGATCCTGGACCTCCTTGCTCTGTCTAATCTGCTCCTTAAGGGGCTTCATCACTAGCAGCAGCATCACGCCGTCAAGGGCGCAGACGAAGGCCAGGATCAGGAAAGGGACTTCTTTTCCGGCAAACTGGTACAGTGCTCCGCCGAAGGGTGGTGCCACCAGGCAGCCAAAGCTAATGAACGCCAGGGCAATGCCCAGCGCCTGCGATCTCTCGTTCTCTTCGGTAAAGCGATCGGCGATCATGGCCAAGCCCGCTGTGTCCGCGAACGCCGAGCCGGCGCCCTGCAACGAGCGGGCGAAGAACAGGACGCTGTAGCTGCTGCCGCAGGCGAAGACGGCCGTCGAGAAGAACATAATGGTGAGGCCAATCATCATGGGCAGGTCGTAGCCGATCTTATCGATGAGGCCACCCGAGAACGGATTGACCATCAGCTGAACGATGGCCTTGGAGGCGAACAGTAGGCCCGTGGCCGAGTCCTGGCCATGGTGATCGTGGTGCACGGGTATGATCATGCCCGTTACGTTGTCCCGCAGCGGGGGTGGCGTCGGGCCGTCGTCAAAGTTGCTGATCTCGCGCAGATAGTCGGGTATGATGGGCACAATCACCATGTAGAGCATGTTGTCCAGCAGCAGGGCTATGGACACGATCACCAGAATAAGGCGGCGCTGGTTGACCGGCTCCTGGATCTTCTCCCACACGATCTCCTTCACCTCGCGCAGCTCCAGGTTGATTACAGGTATTTGGAATGAGGCCATATTGTTAGCTGCTCTTACTTAATCTCTCAGGTGTATTATGAGTTAATCTCCTACTCTCGTTCTGCTTCCTGTTTGCTGTTGTGTTTTGTACTCAGAAGTTACCGTCCCTCTACTGCTTTCTCTGCTTTAATGCTGCTTTCTGTGGAGCTCGAGGCCTGTCAAATTCATGGTCACAGCCGGAAATTGCTTAGCACTGGCTACAAATATGGCTGCTTCCGTTTCCGGTTTGCTAATTGCCCTCCCTTTTGCTTTTGTTTATGCTTTGAGGTGGTTTGTAGTTGTTGCTGTTGCTGTTGCTGTGGTGTTTTACATGTTTTCGTGTGGTTGTTGGAGTTGTAGTTGTAGTTGTAGTTGAACGAGTTGTGGGCATGCCAGTGAACAACCTTTAACGACACAGAAACAAGATTTCGTTAGTCTTTTCGTTCATTAATTAATGAATAATCCATCTCTTCTAATCCTCGCGATCACTCGCTCGCTCTCATCCTCCCGCTAACTAGGATTCAGTTTGTTAGTATTTTTATTTTTAGTAATTCGATTGCTTTTATGATTGAAATGTTGTTTCTGTGTTGCAAAAGGCTGCCTGCTGGTGAACAGAAATTGTATTGTTAGGATTAGTTCGTGGCATGGGCGCGCACAGCATTCGATTCGGATTCGGTTTTACATAAGATTACATTTTCTTTTCGAGTGACACACATTTCAATCATAAAACAAATACCGAAAAAGTAAGTACATTCTACAATTAAGTCATTGAATATGCCGCCGTCGAGCAATGATTATCAAGCAATTATTTTAATTGGATTTTGCGGCAAATTCGCTTCAAATGTGGCCATTCATTCAAATGGGCTTGCTCGGATGGAGTCTGTCCCCAGCCCAAGTGGAGTGGAACGGAGTGGATTGAAGTGGAGTGCAGTAGAGTGGAGGACCCTTACGGCCACGTGGTTGTACTCATTGAACCCCGAACCCCGAACCCCGAACCACGAAGCTGAAGCCTACACTCTGCTGTAATTATAATTATTGCTTTTCCGCACAAAAAGGTCGTACACTCGACCCACACGCAAGGGCCAGAACTTGAACTACAGGAAAGAAGAAAACAAAACACAGCCCAACACAGGATCCAGACTTTTTCCAGGAAAAGTGTATGTTTTCATCATTTGGGATTCACTCTTTTAAAGATTCTTCCTCTATAGTGTATGGTGCGTGTTGGCTATCAATGCTGATCCAATTTCAACATTTATCTAGCTTGTATCGCCCTGGCAGGCCCACGGCTAGGACCAGCCACCCCCAATCGGAAAACACGAAAATGCGACGTGTGCAGGGTATAAATATGACTACCTCTCCAGCCATCCATCTCCCCCTGCTCCCTGCCCCCTGCCCCCTGCCCAGGGCAGAGCCGCCCCCTCATCGGGCTTTGGTGTATGCGAGACGTAACAAAAACATTTCGTTTTATCATTAAATTTTCATGACCACGTTCGTGTATTTGCGCCGGTGCCCCCAGCCGCCTCATCAGCCTTGGGTCCTGCCTTGATCGAGGGCGGGTGCACACCCCACATGCACATATCATACCAACGTACAGATACTAACAGCCCCCGTAATGTCCGTGAGTCAATTATGTTCTGTGGCTGTATGTGTGCGAGAGTTTTTTTTGCCAGAGACTTTAATTTTTGAGCTTCCCCTAACTACCATAATGGGACTGGGGGGAGGCCTGTGAGCACTGTGGGGCCTGGGCCAGGTGGGGTGGCCGCCGCACTTGACCCTGTGGGAGGGGCTGGCTAGCGCTGGCGAGCTTTTATCTGAACCAGGGGTTGTTCGCCAGCAGCTCGTCGGCAGCGGCTCGAGTCAAGTGCAGAAACGTGTGCCTACATGTTGATTGTAGCAACACACCGTTCCAAATACTCGTATCTAAAGGAAAGGAAATACCGTGCAACATTACGGGTCTAAGCACACACGCAGCATAATTTGTATTCACGCTTTTATAATTTTATTGATTTTTCCGCACTGTCTGGCAAAGGGCCTCGTGCGGACAGCTGACGAATTTCCCAGCATTGGGTTTTGGCTCTCAGTTTCTGTTTCTCCTCGCACTGTGGCCCCCACACTGTGGCTGTGGCACTATTTGGTTTCCTTTTCATGTTATGCGGCAAACCCAGGAGAAGGAGCAGCTTCCGACTGGCTCAATTAGTCGGCAGAGCATTCATATTTTATGCAGCTTCCACCGCAGTAAATTATGGCAGGGCATGAGGGAAGGCGAGGGCAGGCAACTTTAGTTTCTGCTCTATGCCGCATTATTAATGTACCGCCTGGGGCTCGACCTGCTTCGGGCTGCAGGTGCTCCGACCGGAGACGACTGTCTCCACATGAAATATTCAGTTCAAGCAGCTTTAAGATGAGCGATGAGCATTTCTCTGACGACTTTGAATGGATGCCCGAATGGAAATTCAATCTACTGCTGCCGCCAGACAACAAAGTGCACTTTCGCTAGCCCCAAAATGGGATTTTCCGACAGCGAAATGGAGTAAAGGAAATTCCCAGCATTCAGGGGCTTAGAGTTTCACCCACTTCATAGCCAAGATGATCCTCGACTTTTGCCGCTTTCGGTTCCCGCTGCCATGGGAACACTCGCAGCCTGCTGCTGCCATACACATTCTCCACAGGAAGACCCCAACAACAGTGCTCGGGCTGTTTGCTTTCCCTGCGGAAAAGGGGAATGAAATTACATTCAATTTTTTTGTTCTGTTTCTGGCTGCCTTCTCTGCGGGGGCGTGGACGGTGTGGTGGGTGTGCCGCCGTCGTCTGTCTGACGAGGTAATCAGCGTAAAATAAAATTTCATTTTCCTGAAGGGTAAGACATAAAAAATGCGATACAATATAGCAAACATTCTGGTCCCGACCTGGCCCGGCCCGGCCCAGTCCGGCCTGTTTGCATTCACAATGAGATGGCAGGAAAAATAACAGACATTTTTGGGAGCTTTGCCAGGGCAACAGATATTCTGTTTTATGTATATCATTAAAATTAATAATCTAGAGAAATGTCCTCTGCTGATTTTGAGGGGATAGTGCGGTGTGGGCGTGGGTGCGGGGTGCTGCTTGCTTAAATAAACAGCAAATAAAAAATATATCATAATATTTATGGTAAGCCGCATTTCTCACGCTGCCTGCCACTTGACAAAAGGCAGTGGAAAATCCTCACAAGTGTTCGACCTCCCCAACCCCCTAGATGGCAACCCAAACCCTCCTTTGACGGGGCTTGTAAAACTCCCCGCAAGTGTTGTAAGCTGCTTTGTTCAAGTGGCGGCCTTGCGAAGGGTTGATGCGGCAAAGTTCTGTTATATCCACACTTCTGGGTCTGGGCCTGGCCTGGGTCTGAGGAGGGGTCCCATTCGACAGTGTGATACAAGAGTTTACCAGACCATTCTCTTGTGTTCGATTCTATCGCAACCTTTGCTGCTCTCTGGCTGTATGGGTGGTTCGCTGAGGCGTGTGCGCATATTTGTGGTACCCTCACAATCCCACAACCCAATTGTAAGTATCTAATGAACTGTGGCCAGCTAATGAGGCGCCACCTCACCTTGTGCCTGCCACTCCGGATCGATTTACTTGCAGCCTTAGCCCCCTTTTCGACTGCCAAGTGTTTTCTCGGTGACATTTCTGTTTCAAGTTTAATTGTCTTGTCTTGTATCGATTGCCTTTGTACTGGGTTAACTGAACCATCCAGGCCAGGCCAGGGGCTAGCGCATTTGTTAATTGCAAAAGTTTCGAAAACGAAAACGGAAAATGGAAAACGGAAAATGCAAAACGGAAAATGCCCATTTTAAGGTCCACAAAAACCCTCTCCGGCAAAGACAAAATGTGTCCGTGTCCGCAACCCTCTTCAGAGGATGGCTCCCTGCTTTTATTGTTGCTCTGGCCGATGCTGATGTGCTTTTATCAACTCCCAGCGGACCAGCAGCCACTTAGCCCGAGGATCCATTTCAAAACTTCCTCGTATACTGGTATTCATGGAAATACAGAGGAGAAAGCAAAAGGCAGCGCTGAGGCGCCATTTTGGCTCTGATGCTCTGATGGGGACCGCGGGGCGTATGAGCATCGTGGCCCTCTTCGTGGGGATGCCTATAAATCAAAACATTAACTGGGCGGATCCGGGTGGAGCCTGGAGCCCCAACTACGCACAATGGGAGTTGTCTACAATAAAGGGAGTGACTCTCAAAATGTTCTTTTTCTCTCCGAGTGCGAGTGCGTGTCTAATGTGCGTGTCTTTCGCACACATGTGCACTTTTGCTCGTCCTCGACAAAACCTCCCTAACGTGGTCAGCTTCTAGCCTCGGATTACAAATTGATTTGCACATAAATTACTTGGACCTGGAGCATTTATGGCCCTTTGTATGAACCGAAAAAATAAATTACCTTTATGTTCATACTAAGACGTTTTCCATTCGACAGTTAATTCTCTCAGGGTCCACAAGTTTTGGCCAGGCACATACTATATATAGTTTTTGATTAATAGTAGAGACTGTTCTGTCCTGTCCTGTCCTGTCCTGTCCTGTCCCTCTATCAAATTGCTAATTTCAAGCATCGAAAATCCAGAATCCAGAAAATGTAACCATTTGTAGCCGTGCAAATGCGGAGCAATCAACAACACCATCAGCGCCCGGTTTACGACTTTTGATGTCGCTACTCCTGCTCCTGTTCCGTGTCCTACCCTGCCTGTGGAATCGCCCCCCTTTCTGCCTCTGATGGCTCAATGTTCGCAACCCTCGAGAAGCCGGCCTGTTCGGGGTCCTGGCCCGGCTACGGCTCCGGGTCCCGGGCACACTTTTATCAGACAGCATCAAGACAAATGCGTTACTTGTTTCTCGTTTAGCTTATTACGAGCTACCTTCCTGCCAGCCTTTGTTTCTGGCGTTTCCATCCCCTCAGGCGGTGGCTGGGTCTGGGTCTGGGGCTGAATCTGGATCTGGATCTGAGGCTGTGGTGGCTGGGATGATGGGAGGATGTGGAAGTGGTTGGTGCGCCCCCTTTGTTTTGACATGAAACCGCTATGAACACATCAGCGCTACAAACGCGTCTACAAGGCAAACAATCTAATGACAACGGCGCTCTCTTGTTTGTATTCGTGTCGTGGCTGCCTATGTTTGTGTGTGAAATTTATATTTATTGCCTTCATTATGCAGCAGCCGCACTACCAGGCAAAATTTCTGCTCTGTGGCAGGTGGCAGGCGCATGGTCGGTGGCTGGCTGATGGTGCCTTCACATTGATGAGCCCGAACTAGACCCGAGCCAAGGCGAGAGTTGTAATGATTTAATGGGACAACCGACACAAATTTGATTAGTCTGCGCAATCTAATAAAGAAATCTGCTTGCGTTTCTTGCCTAATTGTTTGTCAATTGCTGGCCGCAAGAAAGTATGACACCATCTGCAGCCAGCACAGAGATCGTTAAGTCATTTGTGCCTTGACTACGGCTATTGATGGGTTCAAGAGGGCCTAATAGTGCAGAAAGTAGCCGAAATGGTTTTGGCAAAGAAATTATTGATTAAAGGAGTATATTCTGATGCCTTCCCTAGAATTTGCAACATCCCGAACTTGTAGTATTATATAATCTAAGAATATTATGCATGTTCTTCGACTTCGATGTGTAACATAGCCCATGGTTCACGTTAAAACACTTTAACAATCCCTAAAGTTCTTCGGTATCATCGTTTCGAGAATACATTCCTCTATACATTAGCCCCAAGTGTTCCATTAATTTCAAAAGAAACCCTATATAAAATATGACAATGACGAGATTTACGAGATACTGAGATAAGAAAGTCATCCGATTCCGTGGTTAGTTCTTGATTTAGCATGAAAGAAAGTTCCTCATAGAAGAGCTCATATTCTATCCAGAGTGTACCTATGTAATTATACTTAAAACTAAGAACATTTTGATCGATTCCCTATTCAATTCCAAGTGAGTTTTTCGCTAGATTTGGCTTTCTATTTGCCATGGCACCTGGTTTGCCCTCGTTCGTGTTACATAAGAAGGCGCTCTAGCAGCTCACGAGGTAGACAGCCTAACGGTGACTGTTCCATTCCAGTTCGTTCCGTTGCGTTCCGTCCATTCAGTGAAAAGCGAACCTACGAGAGTCTCATTTTTGGGCCATAAATAAAATGTGTCTACCCTGTGAAATGTGGCAAGTGTCGAGGCCCACACACCCGGACACACAGACACATACACCTTATACAGTATATACAAATGTGATACGCTATATATATAGATATAGGTAGAGCAAAGGACAGCGCTGGGAGGAAGGAAGGAGGCGATGACGAGCACGAGCACGAGGACGAAACTCTTTGCACAGAACTGCTATTCTGCTGTAGTGTTTGCTGGCGAGATGTTGTTTAGTTTTAATTATATGCAGTTTTAGAGGCGTCACGTTATGTAAGCACTCGAAATAAATGACAGAGGCACTCGCTGGAGGGCAGAGAAGGGGGCTGGTGGCTGGTGGCTTACCTGTGTCGCTCGGTGTGATATTGCTGAGGCGATGGGTGAGGAAACCGCGCAAATTGGAGACAACTCGCTGGGGCGAGTTGGGCCCACTGCCAATCGAGAAGCTACGCAATTTGGAGAACAGGGCGGCAGACTCCGCGCCACTGCCCGCGGCGCTGCTGTTGCCCTCGTTGGACGCCACGTTCGCTCCGTGCACTGGGATCCTTTTCCAAAGGGGGTTTTTTTAGAGCCTTTTCAAGCGCGCGCGACTTTCTTCCAAGGATTCTTGGGCCGACTTTTCGTTTGACGCGCTGTTATGTAAAACGAGGGAAACGCTCGCGCCAATCCACACACCGAACACACTGACACTCTACCCGTTCACCGTTACCACACCGTGCGGCGGGGGGTGAGACACACAACAAGAAGCAAAAATCTCTCTGGCAGCACCACCAAAGGACAACGACAGACAGACAACGACTACGAGGCAGCAACGTGCGTTGTATCGTCCGGGCAGGAGCAAAGGTAACTTCTGTCTGGCACTGGCGCTGGCTCTGCCGCTGCTGCTGCTCGGCTCTGCTTTGCTGCTTTGCTGCTCTGCTGCTGCTCTCTGCATACACCGTTATTTTGTCGGTATTCAGCCTGGAATGTCTGAGGCGTCTCCGTCCGCAGCCCCTGGCCCGCAAAGTGTGAGCTTTCCACGGCGCAGGATACGACGCATGCGCCTCCAAGGGGCAGTCAACCAATTGGCTGAGCTCTGGCGGAGCTGCCTCCGCGGACTGCCCGCCTCGCCCGTGTTCCCAGGCACATTACTCTCGCCCAGTTGAGCACATTTGAATACATTTGTATTCGCGCGAGGCGAAGAAAATCAATTTCTCTCAAACATTCGTACCTGTCTGTCCACTCTCCTCAGCTCTGGCTCAGGTTTTTCTCAGTTCTTTTCTTTTCTTTACTTGTATTTCCTTTTCTTCTCTATACTGTTCCTATGCGTGTTCTGGGCTTCAGTTAATCGTAGCATACATTTTGGGGCTTATGTAAGGCAGGTGTGGGTGGGTGTGTGTGTGTGTGTGTGTGTGTATGGGAGCTGGTAGATTTTCTTCTTTGGCCCAAAAGAAATCACAAACACAATGTAATTATTTTACAACAACAAGCCAGTACTGTCAGGACGATTTCTTTGTTAATTCCAGCAATTGCCCAAACAATAAACACCAATTTCTCTTCCGACAGTCTCTATACTTAGATTCACATGTACTTACAAGTACCTCTCAAGTGCCTCGAACAATGGACTTGGACTCGGACTCGGACTCGGACTCAGACTCGGGACTCGGACTTGGACTTCTGATTAATATCTGGCGAGGACTGCAATGCAGAGACGGTGTCCCAGCCTTTTGTTATATTTTTGGGCAACACCAGCCACGCAACTGTCACACAATTTGCCAATTTCATTGTCATTTATCATCTGACAGGCACTTTCTGCAATTTATCAAGACTTAACTTGTGCTCCCCGGTTCAAAGGCCACGCATTTACGCCGAGATGGGACTTTTGTGTTTTGTGTTCCGGTTCGCCATAGTATGGCGAATATAATATTCATTGGCAGATGAAAAAATTGCATTACAAATGTATTCAGTCCGTTCTTTCAGTTTGCTGTTTTCTCGCACCTTGCCTCCTGCGACACTTTTTTGTTGCCTTTGTCTACATCTCTGCTGTCTTTTGTCGCCAACTCTTTTCTCTCTATTGCTTATGTTTCATTTTTTATGCGGAAAACTTTTTAAAAAGCGGTTTATAATTTATTCACTGCCTTGGGAAGTTTCTGTAGGTGATTGGGGCGCTTGGCATTCAGTGGGACAGAAAGGATTCTACTTAAAGTTAAAGCCAAGAAGCTAGTCATACATTTATGTATCTGATAAAGATATGACCTACAGTAGAACTACTATACTGTCCATAATAATTAGTATTTATCAATGTAAATGATGATCTATCGGGCAGAGATTCATAAGATGCATATTTGTATTCATTTACCTAGAGCTTTAGCTGTACTCCCACTCGTTCTCTATTGATTGATTCACTTTTATGGCTTTGATGTATCCAGTTTTATATTTTCATTCAGGATGTACTGTCATTGATTCGCTATGAGTGCCACCAATTTCCCACTGCAAATGAGGCTAGCACCTAAGCTGGAAGTCATGTCAAGGTTATAGCAGTTTTATTGATTGATTATTGAACGGAAGTGCATAGAAATGACTCCCCCGACGGCTTTAAATCGAATCTCCACTCAAAGTTCGCCTCTTCTGTTAAAAGTATTCTTGTCTTTGAGGAATTGCTCCTAAGAACCTTTAAAATCCAGCCACGTATAAGCAATTACGTGTGTAAAGTTCTTGCTAAAACTAGTATTTTTTCATTTCTTTTTTTCTTTTCTGGTGCTTTTTTGAGGTAACTTTTAATGCAGTGCCACAGCAGCAGCAGCAGCAGCAGCGATCGATATGAGCCGCGGCAGCGGAAAGTTGTAGAAGTCTGCTCCTCTCCGGTTCTCCTTCTCAAAGGTAAATCAAGGTGTGCCCTGGCCCGGGAGTGTGCGTGTTGTGTGGGCGTACGAAAGTGGGCGTGGGTGGGTGTGCCTCCTGCGGATGTTTGCACGGCGGCTTAAATATAAAAACACTATATGGTGGGGCCAAATTATATAGCACAGCCATCATCAGCGTCGCCGTTTCTGAGTCTCAGGCTCTGGCTCTGCCTGGCTCTGCCTCTGGCTGAGTCGGGCCAACGTACTTTGGGTTACCCAAAGTGGTTGAAAACAAGGTTGTTACTGGCCCGCGGCGCGGTACGTGGTACGCACCACCCACTTGCCCATCCGGCAGCAGGCCAGACCCAGAAAAATGTCTACAGGGCACGCAAGGCAAACGAGCTAAAAAGAAATGGCAAGAAGAAAGGCAACCTCGTCAAGGGCCCACAATAGACCAAACAAAGCCAACTTTTCCACAGGTACACAAAAAACACCAAGAACTGAAACAACAGGGAATGGTCAGAGGTGGCTGGTCTATATATAGAAAAATTGCGACTTCGTATCCGTAGTCGATTTGCACAGCACTCAAACTTAATTCAATTTTAATTTACAGCTAATTGTTTGACCCCGAGAGATGTCCCGTCATTTGTCATAGCTGGGACTGGCACGGGGACGGGTACTGGGATTAATTAATGTTCCGCGGGCCAAGTGGAGCAGCAGACAATTGAAATGTGACACCGAGAGGTGACTGAAAGTCAACGGAAAACGCTAGTCCCAAGATGCTCCGCTCCGGGCAATCGAAACAGTCAACTCAGAGTGGAATAACGCTGGGCGGTCCTGGGAAGAGACTTCAAAGCGATACTTGGCCCAATTATGAACCCCTAACCGATCCCAGTCCAACCTGAAACCAGAACAACAATTTCCATGCCCTAATATTTATTTTCAATTAGGAATTCGCTCATCCCCGGAAAAGTGGTATAATGCCGGGCATACTCGCACTTGTAATGTGTACGCCTTTGGCCAATTAGAGGATGGGGTTAGACTGGCATCTGCTTGGATGTAAACGAGCCGCCACCACCACCACCAGCACCAGCAGTGCACCCACTCCCACTCCCACTCCCACTATCCAACCACCACCGCTTCCACCAACAGCAAGAGGAAGAAAAAAACAGAAACAAAAACAACACTTACACAAGAAGGAAAGGCTTTCGAGGTCCGAGACTTTAGATACCCTTGCACGTCACATTATATGGTTCTTATGGCATCTATAAGTCCAGAAGATACGTCCACCGGGAGTGGAAATTGTAAAAAGAAAAAGCTTTCACTTACATTTTATCATTAATATGACAATAGTTGATATATTTCATTTTTCAATATTTCATAGTTAAATTAGATATATTTGTATTTAGTTTGGAGGAAACTCCAGATTTAATATATTTTTAATACAAAATCGAATTCTATTCTTCGTAGGTTTGTATTTAAAAGCCTAAAATATGGGTGTATCTTTTTACAATGGTTTTTTTCTCTGAGTGTAAGCAATGTGACTTATCAACGATCGCTGCAATGTATTTATTACAACGATCTCTGGAGGCTTACAAGATTAATGATAAAAAGATATAGCTACATCTCGGATACGAACGTATCGTAAAAATCGGAATACTCTTTGTAAGGGTTTCAGAACAACACTTGTAAAATATCACGCTGCGCCTTAGGGTCTGGGTTTGGCCAAGGTAAGCCGCCTTCGTCTTCATTCCACTCCCCGCCGTGCACCATCCCCACCCCCGCACTCACACCCTCTCCTGGCCACCCTCCCCTCGTTATATTCTATCGATTTTTATACCGTTAGCATGTCTGCTAGATCTACGTGGATACGTGTCTGGATATGTGTGGGTTTTTGTGTATTTTTGAATATCTACATATCTTCCCCGGAAAAATGTGTCTGTGGGTGGGGCGCGCTATCAGGAGCCGGGGATCGGGGGTATAGCAGTTTATTCGTAATAAGAGCTAACTGTAAATGGTTTAGATCTTGCAGGACCGCGCCACGCATATGCACACGAGTATATTGGACCTGGCCTAATTGGATTGCTCCAACCGCAGCGCACGGAACATCCTATGCCAGAGCCAGAGCCAGTAGCCCATCCTGCCGTGTCCTGCCCATATTCTATATTCCATATTCCATATCCCCTGTCTACTGTCTACTGTCTCCTGTCAGAGGTGGTTTAAATTTATATTTACCTTAAAATATTTCCACTGCCGGCGTCTGCTGGCTTGATGGCTTCATATTGCCGTTGATCCTTTCAGTGTCTGCTGATATTGACAGCCTGATAGACAGCAGGATACCTGCCAGGGCTGCCGCCTCTGCTGTGGGTTGGGCTCGGATTTTGTTGTGGTTCGTGGCTGTTGGTGCTGTCATTGCCAGTGTCTGGATTGTGTCTCTAGCTGGGGCGGCAGCTCCCCCGGGGCGCAACATTTGATGGCAGCCACATCCACATCCACAAACGAGAGCCAACCATCTCCCGCTGCGGCAAAGTTCATTCTAGACTCGATTCTGAACGGTGTCAAGAACGGTTGCCAAAAGAAAAACAACTCATGATAGGTACTCAGAAGTTGATTATGTCTTCGGAGATTCTGCAGGTGAGACAGCAGTCGAAATCTAAGCTTTTCTTTAAGGATAAAACATTGTGAAATGGGTGAAATTTGAAATCTATCTTAATATTGAAGCAAGTAAAAGAGTGATTGA